TACACCCACTCAGTTAAGCTTTACACCACGCGTGCGCCCTCTTCTTCTTCGGGCGCGCAGCTCCCGAGTTGCCTTAACGCACAAGCAGCAGCAACGCTTCCGCATCTCGCAATTGAACAAGGGATGAGCCGCCGCACTGTAGCCGGACTTGGCCTTGGCTTGGCTTGGCTTGGCTTGGCTTGGTTTGGCTTGGCCTGCTTCAGACCGGTACCGGTCGGCCACGGCCCGTCTGCTGCAAACATTTTGTCGGTCCAGTAGCTTCCGGACTTTCCTGGGACATGCTGCAAAGTTGGACTTGGGACTGTCGGACCGGACTGGGCTCTTCCGACCTTTTCTTGTCGGGTACCAGACGACTCCTACCGAGCTATGACGCTTCGGTACCAACACCTACGACCTACAACGTTTCAGATTACAGATCCTACGGCCTACCCTACTGGGACAGCCTGCGACTGGGACATTTTGGGACTCTAGGACCGGGACTGGGGTGTCTGTAGCGTGAATCCTTTCACCATGGTAAGGCAAACCCCTTTTACTCCAGGTTAGCATGGTCCACCAACCAGTGATTCGTTGGCAGGCAGCGATGCGCTATCTGCCACGGCAAGGAAGTGATCTTGGATGGATTTGCTTTACGCTCCTGGAACCACCGTATTGGTGCGAGCTACCGGCGATCTAAGTTGAGGTGCCTGGCCCACTAGATAGCATCAAGATCAAACCTAGAACATAGACAAATTCCCTTGCCAGTCTTACTTATCGTGGAATATCACCCCACAGAACAAGAGTGAACCTGGAACATCTTCTCATGGAGTGGCTAATGGCACTCCAGATGTGGAAGCGGTAGGATGCCACCAGGAAAAGATCTACAGTGGGAACCTGCCCTATTGCTGTTGGGACGACTTTCAAAGATGCCACCAGGCCTGCGGGCTTAGCTCAGCCCTATTGCTGTTGGGACGACTTTCAAAGATGCCACCAGGCCTGCGGGCCTAGCTCAGTTGGTAAGGAAGTTGCATTCAGGAGGTCGTGGGTTCAATCCCCATTGGCCTCACGTACATGCCTGGGCAAGCTTGGTGTTCTACCAGCTAGAGATAACCCGTTGGCCCCCCAAGCCAGCATTGGCAGGACCTTGGCTGATGTTCTCTGCTATGCAGCGACAATATTGGCCAGTAGACMCCGCCATGKGGGGCKGGGGGGGGGGGRGGGGGAGGTGCAGTGACTGGCCATTGCTCGGCGCTAGCACCGCCGATTTCCCCCATCGGCAATGCCTGCCCACCCCTCGTCACCGTGATGAGGGACTGGTACAGCCTTGCTCTCGCACCACAGCTGTGGTGCAAACCTACCCCGTGGGCTGGGGAGAGATCCGGGTTGGTTGGTGTTCCCCCGTACTATAAATAGACTAGTGAGAAGATGAGATAGATGCGTACTACCAAGAAGGATGAAATAGACTGAGAGAAGAATATAAATTACTTTAAAGGGAAAAAAAAAAAAAAAAAAAGATGCCACCAGGAAAAGAACATCCACCTGCCAATGCCAGGCCCAACCACAACCATGGTTTGGTAGGCAATACAGCAAACACAGCGCCATTTAAACACACATACACTATTACACATATTACGCAGTCGCAAACAACTGAGCGACACGATGAAAATGGAAACCCGAGTACAGGTTAAAGTGCATTTGAAAAATAGACATGAAAGCTCTTGGCGCATTCTGGGGAAAACCCTACCCAGCGTTTTCGGCGTTCCCCTCCGGTCTCATCAAGGGTCGGGCGGAATTACCGGCTTGGGGGAGAGTTAAGACTATTAATCAAATCATCTGTTGTTCATTAATTTTACAGGGCACTTCCAGCTCAGCTGAGCTAATGAAAGTTCCAGAAAGGGTACGAAATGTCACTTGCTTTTGGGGAAGGTACCAGGAGGAAACGTAAGAACCGAGAGCTCAGGGCCAATAGAAGAGAGGGGACCAGGAAGGAAAAGCAGTAGTGAGATGGGTGTAGGAACCGAGAGCTCAGGGCCAATAGAAGAGGGGACCAGGAAGGAAAAGCAGTAGTGAGATGGGTTTTAGAAAGGTTCCATGAGGGGTACCGAGAGGCAGGAACCAAAAAGGCCTGAAAGAGGAAGGAAAGGCCAGAAAAGGAGAAAGGGTTGGAAAAAAGGGGGCTTATCAGACTGGAAGTGCAGTGGACGAGTACTTTCCCCCCCCCAGCCTATAGCCGGGGCCTATTCTATGTGCCTGTTCGGCCTGTGGGACAAGGCTGTTGGCCTGATCTCACAGGCCGTGTGTTAGTCCAGTTCGGTAGCAGTGTCAGTACCAGTCAGTCAGCTGGGGGTATACCCCCCCTGCATTCTGTTTCATTGCTCATTCTACACTTATGCATTGCCGAGACTTGGAGTACACTACAGTGTGAGTCTATGGTGTGTGTTGTGTGCTATCACTGCCATGCTTGACCGGCCTTCCAGCTCCAACCTCATCGCCACTGTCCTCCTCCTCCTCCACGGATGGGATCTGCCATCCAGACATGATCGTGGTCCAGGAACCGACTACCAGCAAAGGGGGGGCACTTACTCTTTAATTTTCTTTCCTTCTTTTTTTTTTTTTTTTTTTTTTTTTTTAACAAGGGCCCAGTGCCCAAGGCTCATTGCATACACCGCAGACACACGCCTCTTCCCATCAGGGCTGGAAGAGCCTTGGCCACTGCTCCCATAGAGACAGCTTTCCTGTACGACAAGAATGAAGATTGAGCGCTGAAGATTGATTGCTTCCCCAGGAGGGAAGGATTAACTCAGCCCCATGGACAATCGACTTCTACCCTACTATACTGAACCACCAATGATCAGTCCCTACAAAGCAAGATTTCGGGGGGTATATAGCAGGGCAAAGCAATCAAGCACATCCCAGGACCCAGTCACAAACCCTAATTGAATATGACCCACAGTAAATGAACTCAAAGCTTATCAAGAGAGGAAGAATTCAGCAATCAAGGAAAATCAACACACATGAAGGGAAGGGGGAGAGAGAACAAACACAGAGACCACAGGCACCGCCTCCCAACCCCTTGCTACAGCCTCTCTTCCTCCCCCCGAATCCCACGGGAACAACTCATCAGCACGCCACCCCAAAGTGCATCGCCAGGTCGGCATCTTCCCATGCACAGCAAAACTTTCAAGAAAGAACCCTCGGCTACCCTTTTTTTGAAAGAAACATCACAGGGCGACCAACTCTGGGAGGTCATAAGAGTAACCTGCAAGAGTTGGGCCTCACCCATTTGTGATGGCTCCAATCTCTCGGTGGGGTGCTGCACCTGCTGCAAAACGGGTGCAGTGCCCCATTCAACAAGACCAGAGCATGAATATCCATAGGAAGACAGAATTGACTGCGGTCTTGTTGAGGGGATTAAGTCCTCCTGACACATTGCCCACGTATCGTCTCATCCTCTTTGAGTCAAGAGGATGCAGAAGGGGAATTGGTCGTGTTGTCCTGTGACTATTCTTGGTACCACAGCAAATCGTCGGGGACTGATATGAAAAAAATGTCAGTAGGCCAGGGGCGAACAAAACCGAGCACTGGAAAAATGAGAGCATATGTGTCGCATTTGCGCTAGAATTTGTTTGACAGGCTTCTTGTTTTATTTTTCTAATATTTTCCCCTCGTACAACGACATGCACCCTAGATCCATAAATGTTCTCCATTTTTCCCTTTTTTGGAAGGAGATGGGAGTGAAAAATTGCCAGAGGGATTCTTAATTTTGGTGGCTCTGTCCCTGGGGCCGTGCACCCCTGCTAGACCCCACATGACCACAGCCCCTTGTTAAACCACCTCTGTCCTTCCACCTTTCCCGGGATTGCACCAGTACACACAGGCGCGGCAGGTCAGTTTGGCCTCGGGATAAACTAAGCTGGCTGCCCCTGGTAGGGCCAACCCCGCAAGACTTCAGCTGCCCACTTTCAGGCAAAAATTAGGTTCGACAAATATATTTGGAGCCTGGTGGCTCAAAAGGCATGCAATCGCAGATAGCTGGGTGCAGTGGTGTTAGTTAAAAAAACCCACCCAGTGCCCAAAGCTCACATCCAAGGCATGATGATAGGACACCCACTGCATCCTGCAACCAGGGCGCCTCTTGCCATCCCAAAGTCATCCCTTTTTTTTTTTTTTTTGGTGCATTTTTTATACAAAAGCCCAGGGTGCTGTAGAGGCCACGGACCATACCCACAGTAATCGCTGGCAGCGGCAGCCGATGGTTGTCCTGACAGGATAGGCCACCTTGCCTACCCTTCTCCACGTCAATTCTCCCAGCGCACCCCCTATCCCTACTATCTTACCTCAGTGTGACCAGCACTCAGGACCATGTCATCCTCGCACAGGGGCCATGCTACCGGTAGTCTTCTCTGTATCGATCCAATTTTAATGGATGTCCCAAAGGACAGAAGCCAGAGCTTTATAAAGGAGGATAACTCCATTTTGGCCGTTCCCCAATCCAGGCTTCAAAGACCTGACACAACACCCCATAGAAGCCCACCCCATAGCAGCAGCCCATGTACATAGGAAGTGGTCAAGGGCCTTTGCCACATAGTAGTGCTTAATCTGAACCACAAACATTCAACCCAACAAAATAGCTACACCTGCGCCCAGCAAGTAAGAATTCACCATGGCCAACACAGCATTAGTTATGATCAATCTTCACAAGACTTAGTRGCAATGTTGTACGGTTAACATGATATGCAACAGTGCATATCAGACATACACAGTGGTCAGTCATCTACTTATGTGCCATGCACCCAACATTGGATCGGCCACACTAGTCTGCTCGTCTACGTATGTGCATGCATATAGCAATGCATCAACGATGCTGCAACGCAGCACTGAGTTGGAAAGCAATGCCTGCTCGTCTACCTATGTGCATGCATCTTGCAATGCAATAACCATGCCGGTTTGCAGCAGCGGGTTGGAAAGCAACACTGCAATTCAATTGGAYCTCGGTGTCTACTCCATGAGATCTAGCAAAAGAACCTGGGTTAAGAAAATGCCAAGCAGGTTTCACGTTCAGCTCTGTTGTCACCCTCGTCGTCATCGTCGTTCTACTCCTTGTTCGCTTGTCAGTTCCACATTATCGATCAGTCGGACTGACCCAAACCATGCAGCTACTGCAATGACATCAGGTCTGTCCACCGTCACAAGTGGCTGGAGCGTGTCCTGGTCGATGCATTCAACATAGTCCATTCTTCCACCTGCAGCACAGATCGATCCCTTGACCTTCTCTGTCAGGTTGGTGGAACTTGCCTCTCCTTTGGTGTAGGCTTCCAGAGCCTCCCTCAGAGACCTGCTGATGGACAGGGCCCTTTGTCTTTCCTCCGGTGACARTCGGACATTTCGGCTGCTCATGGCCAGCTCGTCCACCTCCCTCACAAGAGGACAGCCTACAACATGCACAGCCATATCCAAGTCCCTCACCATGCGACCAATCAGGCGMCATTGTTGATAGTCTTTCTTCCYGAAAACAGCAACATCAGGCTCCACGATGTGGAACAGCTTGGCAACAACTGTTGCAACACCGCGGAAAAATAAGGGCCGCGAGCGGCCACAAAGTGGTTGCTGAAGCCGCTCCACTGTCACCCAAGTCTCGTGTTTGGATCCTGATCCCTGATTATCGCTGCCTGCTTCTAGGCATGAGATTGCAGATGACCTCCTGCCACCACTGCCAGGTTCCACCTCTCCGCCCGAGCAACCATGGGGCTCCAACTCCTCTTCCCTCTTCTCCTGATGGCCTTGCCTTGTCGCATCATCATGAAGGCCATGGCCATGATCAATGTGTGTTGTCGTCTGCTGTTGATCCGCTTGACGGCTATGGTTGTTGTACTCATACAGGTTGCTGRGAAGAAAGACAACATCTACGTCTAGCAAACGGAGYTTAGCCAGATCTGCATCTATATCCTGGGGATATGTGTCAAGATCTTCGCCAACAGCAAACTGGCTGGGATTGACATAGATTGACACCACAACCTTGTTTGCCCATCTTTTAGCTTCGTGAACAAGTGACAGATGTCCTTCATGCAGAAAGCCCATTGTGCAGACAAGACCCACATTCCTGCCTGCTCTCTTCACTTGCCTTGTCCATGCCCTCATCTCCTGCTTTCCCTTCAGTATCTCCATTGGGTAGCCAAACAGTTGCTCAAGCTCCTTGTCCCCGCTCTCCTCCCTCTTCTCCTCCCCCCCCCCCCCCCCCCCCCGCCCCTCTCTCGCTCTCCCTCTCTCCCGCCCCACGTGAACAATACCTGCGCTGGTACTTCCCTACCTTCCTCAGTTGCCTTGTGCGCATGCTTTGCCCCTGCACAAYACGCACAATCACTCACCGCACACAGAATGTTGCATTTGTTTGTCCATGAGTGGATGGAACACATAAATGAGTTTCATTGAGYTGTCCCCTCAATTCACTATGACTAGAGATCCTCGCATCACAACCATGGTTGCTGGTTAGGGAAGGATGCCACTGAAGACCAACACTGTGAGTTAGGTAGCCATTGCCATTGGTAGGTAGGCAGTGGCTTCCCCCGACAACCACAGTTCCTGAGCATGTCTGACTGTATGTCAAGGCCACACAGCCAGCCGGTACTTGACAAAACAAGATGGTGTGCACACACATTAAAAAAAAATAAAAAAATAAAAAAATAAAAAAAATGCTGTAGCAGCTGTACACATGCTCTCTCTGATTGGATGGCAAGTAGGGTCCTCCTCACAGGCCTGCAACATACTGTGCCACTGTTCTTTTTCCACACCTGCCAATGTTCCAATGACAGGTGGTAGCTGCAATCCACACTCTGGCACCCCATATCTCTTCTCCATTTTTTAAGTGTTGCTATAGAATCGGTGACGCTGCATGCGAGGACTTTCTCTACTGGATTTGACCGGATTGTGGTCAGATTCAATCGGAAAAGTTACAGTTTCAGTATGGCCACAGGCGATGCTGCGACTACCTTTCTTGTGCACCTTCTCCTCTCTCACTCCTGAGGATTTCACATCAAAACTCCTGAACACACTTTGGAGAGCCTGTTGCTTATGTGGAGCCATAGCAGCGATCCAATCCAAGCCGTTTTGTCAACAAGGTAACACAGCAAACAGGACATTTTCCCTGAGGCTACTCTGCAAAGACATGGTTTATTCCCACCAGACTTTCGCTGAGTTAGCACGCACAAAATAGCACAGAATAGCGCAGAATAGTACAGAATAGCACAGAATAGCACAGAATAGCACAGAATAGCACAGAAATGCACAGAATAACAGAAGAGAGTAGCAAAGGAGAGCAGAAATTTCCCTTGAGGTCACCTGATGTCTTAAACCACCAGTACACCCGGGTCTAGAAACKTTCCACTGCGCGCCAAGCTTTGCCGATCCGCCAGCGGCACACATCTTTCCGTTTTTGGCTGGTGCCGCCAGCCACTGTGGTCTGGTAGGCCCGAGACGGGAAATTTTTCGGAGTAGGCGGTGAAACTTTYTCAGCAAGGTTGGGGCCGTGTACTGGCGATCAMYKGCCTCAAGCCTATTTTGATGGACCTGTTGCTTCACTGACCGTGGGGTTTCCAAAGCGCAGTTGTTGGGGGCTAAGCTTGGGTGCGGACTCTGCGGAGGCTGCCGACCATGGTTGGCTACGTTCCAATCCAACATCAGTGGCCACAAATTCTCTTGTGCCTGTGGCAGGTTTCTACTATCGTCTTAACCCCCCAAAACCAAAAACGTACATACRTTCTACTCAAATTACCTCTGGATCTGTTTCTTTTACCGACTTTTCATTTTTCAGATGTGATGTCTGAGAGAGACACTGTTCTCCGATGTTTGCAGCATTTCAAGTTTTCAAAAGTTCCAGAAAAAYAAACTTTTGCCTCAGGATCCGATCCAAATTCGCAACCAAAATCAAGGGAAAAAAAAAGAAAAAGAGGAAATTGGAGCGGCGCAGAGAAGATTAGGCGCTGATCCGACATTACATAAAAAGAGAAAAAACAAGAAAGTCCCTAAAAAGAAGGCAACAGGTCGGACGGAGCGGAAAAGCAAACTGGGACCCCACAGAGCYGGGTTCRGTGGGTCTTTCCCAACTACCGCRGCGGGTTTCTTTGGGCTTCTACGAAGTTGGACGTTCCTGTGGTCCGCCGTATGGCTTGGCCTCCCGATGTGGGTGACACAGACGTACCTGCTCAGGAAGGGTGGACATAGAAAAGGCCAACACATTTTCACGGCAACTTTCTAGGTAGGGGTAGGGGTCCTTGAGCCTTCSATGTTACGTAGTGTCTTTGGGCCGTTCATCACGGGCTACGCG